TATGGTCACTCACCTAGTCCCAATGACCAAGAGGTCGAGGATGGGGACTAGGGAGCGCCTAAGGGGGTTCTTATATACTAGAGGGGCTGCTTAGCAACCAAGGACAAGGCGCGAGAGCGAGGCAGTGAAGATGACAAAGAGAGAACAAAGGGCGAGAAAGAAAAGGCAAGGGCATGGCGATCACGGGAACGTAGCATGCGGCCGTGGGAACGTATCTACAGTGTCCAAATTGGGATGGGCTAGAAAAGGAGATGGTCCGCGAATGGAAGGTGGGCGTCAAAGGGAGGGGAATGGGCGGCAAAAAGGGGCGTCTGTCCAACGTCCGTGACATTCAGCAAGCACCCATCCAGGCCTCTCCGGCAATTACATGATCATCTCGCAGTGCAAGTAACAAGGTATTACATTGAGGTGAACGGTCACCACCCCGATTGTGTGTCACTTGGTTGACCGGTCCATTGCGCGTTAGGAAATGTCACAGTACGACGAAACATCTACTTCCCCGCGCCCCAAGTTCCCGAAGTTTCATAAGAAAACTCGCGCACCGCCTTCGCCGACTGCAGAGGTCGAGAGCGTACCCCTTCCCGAACGTGTCACCGCGTCGTCATCACCCACCCCAGAGGGCCAGTCCCCTGTCAACCACAGGTGAGCTGTCGTTCCACGTTCTACGTACCACGTTCCTTTATCTGACGTACAATTCAGTTTATTAGCATCCCCGAGTCGCCCGATTCGGCCTGGTGACCCCATTCCTGTGTTGAAAAAAAACAGATTTGGGACACGTGAGTTATTGGATCGTAGCACCAAGTGACATCCTCACAATCTGTCGTAGCTCCCGACGTCTGTGGTCCCTGGGAAGGCAAGGTAGCCACCATTGGGTCCCTCAACGGGTTTCTCGTGACCTCTCCGACTCGCGAATACATCCCCAGGTATCCTAGGGAGGTCGAGGTCATCCAGACCTACGAGGACGGCTTCTGGGGGGAACACGAGTATTCCCGTCACCCCCAACTATACGTTGAAGAAATGACCCACCTCGCTTGTATCCCAGCAACTCCCGAGCAGGATGAGATGCTCTTCGATCTGTTTCACCCGCTGCATGCGTCGAGGGACTGGACAGAAGATCGGGACATCGCGGTGCACGGGCTGGGACTCATCAAGCGCGAAATGCGCAAGAGTCTCGGTGAGTGTGCTGCATATGTCATAGCCCGATTCGAGGCGATCAGCGCGGCGGACGCCTCTACCTCACGATACGGGAGTTTCCTGATCATGCTGCTCCGTCAGGCGGTGGACCGGATGAACTACCTGCCGAGTGTGGCGACTAGATCAATTGCTGTCGCTGCCCACGTTCAACGACTGGCTCTCGAGCTAGAAGGCCTCACGACTTACCTCCAAGTCGTCCTTCCTCGTATTGAGTCATCGGAAGACTTCAGTCACTCGGTCCTAGATGTTGTGGGCGGTTTCATCCGGGAAGGAGCTGTCACACAGACTTGGCATCGGGTCGGCATCCCGTACTGGGTTCTACAGCCGGTGTCATCGGAGGTAGCTGTCTGGCGCGTTGTACAAGAGGATGCCCTACCTTTCTGGCTGTCGACCAGGCCATGTAACCCACCTATACTGCATCGCGCTGGCACATTTGTCGGGGTTTCCAACCTGACGGGGAACTGGGTCAGTAGTATGGTGGTGTCGATATCGAAACACGCTACGGGCTCCCACTTGGCCCGTTTGAACCTCGCAGCCGTCCCCGAGGTCCCTACATCAGAGTCGTCCAGCAGTAAGCGCGCCCGCTTCGAAGCCAAGGACATCATCACAAAGCATCTCACCATGCGTCCTGCGGATCCAGTCCTGGCAGCATCGAAGAAGTCCCGGCGACAGAGGCGACGGCAGGAGGGAGACGCACCAGCCGGAGATTTGGCGATAGTGGGGAGTGGGTCTGCGGGAACCAGTCATCGGTCTCAGCCCTCCGGCCAATCGGGATCCACCGGGATCCAGCACCCATCGCGCAGTCTCGTACTTTCGCCCTTTGTTGAGCTGCCGGCAGTCTGGGCTGAAGCCTTGCGGGCCGCAGGAACGATACCGCCATCCCCTAATTCCGCATTATACTTTTTCCCGCCCCCTTTTCTCCTCGATACGGTCGTCTCCGCCGCCACCGGATCAGCCGGTTGTGCCCATCCGGACCGCGCCCGCGTCGACTCCAAGGTGAATCGTTATCTACACAACCTCTTGCGCATTCGTCAGTTCTGTCGGACCCGCCTCTTCGACCTCTCCCTCAACAACCGGCCTTTGACAATCACCGAATGGAGAGCGGCCCTGTGGGGAGACTATTTGCCGCAGGGCAGCGTGCGGACGAGTGGCACCGGCGCTGATGCTCGACGCGCCAAGCGACGTCGGGACGAACGCAACGAGATCGGGTTGCTGTTTCACAAAGTCGCTCACATGGACTCGTACGACGAGACCGCACTTGTCAAATTCGAGAACCGCCAGGTCGATATCCACACTATCGCGAACGACCCTGCAATTCGTGCTACGCTTTTGTGGGAGGCTCACGAGGTCAATTTCCGAGCGGAGTTGATCGCCCTAGATACTCTCCTCGTTCACAAGGTCGATTGGATGGAGATCCACCGCTGGGAAAGAGAAATGCTCGTCTCGGGGGTATGGGGCCCGCCTTCTTCGGCGGCGACGGTGACCGCCGCAATTGATCCCTCGCTGCGCGTCTTCTGTTGGTACACGCCGCCCCAGGAGCACTGGGATACGTGTCGTGAGCGGCTTCGCACCTTCGCGCGTGTGCTGACGCGGTGGCCAGATTGTCCGGAAGACGTCATACAAGCGTCCCGGAGCGAGTTGCACGAGGACGACTTCCGGGAGGCGCAACGGCGCGCGGTGAGCTTCTATGTACAGACCTTTGTATCGCAGTACTCAAGGCTGCCGATTCCTCCCATCTTGTCCGCGGGGGCGTAATCCAATCAATGCGTATGTCTTATCCCTGCCTTAGGGATTGGGGTACAATCCTTTCACTTCATCTCGATCGCTTACGTCTGGTGTGACCAGAATGAGACATTACTGGTATCTTGGAGGAGCCTCAACCGTCACCATGCTCAAGACTTCTACACAGAGACCAGCAGTCAATCTCTAGTGTTCTGAAGACTCGTTACTGAGATGCAAGGCGTCCGGAACGATCTCGATTGGCGAATATGCGGTCGGCTCCAGCGGCGGTCATTCCATAGCGGCGGGCCAGGGTCCATTCTGCGCGCATAGCAGTCCAAGGTGCATTTCGCTAGCGTCGATTTTATGAGCTAGGCATGTGGTGAAAACACTTCGTTTCCAGGTCCAAATTGCAGATCCAACCGCTGTTTTGCGTCGCATCGCATGATATCTTGGTGATGTTCGGCTGGCCAGACGCGCCGCACAGGTGCCTACTTGTCAGCCGAACATTGTCACGACCGCATCTGCCGAGTGCGTCAACCATCCGACCGATATTTCCCTAAGTACCTGGCGAAAGTCCTCAGGTCCCCATCGACTTTCGCTCTCCCTGTCGACCTCTACTCGCCTCGCCATGCACACTCGCACGTACGCCATGAGGCAGAACTCCTATTTCCGCCCCGACGAGTGGAACTTCTTGCTCGCCGCTGTTCTCGACCAGGAGGTTCAAGAGTATCTCGACAAAGGCAGTTACACCAAGGCTCGCGCCTTACTGTCCGCCCGCTTCCAGGAGCACTTCACTAGTCCTAGTGCGGGTGAGACAGAGGAGGCGTTCAAACAACGCCTTCGCTTTGCCAAGAAGGGCCGCAAGGGCGACATAGTGCGCATCCGCGCCGAAAGCCAGGAAGAGTGGGACGCACGCATGCAGCAGCTCAACAATGTTTGTTCACAAAGTCGTACCTCGTGATGTTTGTCTGACTGCTTCCGAGCACAGCAACTCAAGTCTTGGCTTTACAACTACCGGGCCAAGTGTCGTCGCGCGGGAGTCAAACGCTGGGTCGCTCCGCCTGTCCCTCCCATCCGGCGTCACCGCAAGCGTGCCCTTAAAGCATTCGACATGTTCTGCAAGAGCGACACCGCCCCCAAGGGGGCAGACTTCGTCACCAACAAGGGGCAGCGTTTCGATCTCTCCAGGCTCCAGGCCGCTCGCAAGGCCGCTTGGGATCATCTCTCCGACGAGGACAAGGAGGTATTCCAAAGGGCTGTCGCCGAAACGCTCCGTGAGGCCGATGTTCTGCCTGAACTCGTGGAGATTGAGGGCTCGAACGCTCCAGTTGCGTAAGTTACCTTCTTGCATGTGCGCCAATAGTTTGGTCGCTCACCGGCAATGTCCTCAGGTATGCCGAAGACATTGCAGCCCACGTTGACGACTTCTTCGAGGGCTTGCATGAGGATGTCAAATGGGGTGGTTTTGCTATGTTTGGCGGACCAGACCACGATGGGGAAGCCCGCATTCACTTGTGAGTTCCGTCTCGTGATGGCGGATGCATTCACGTTCACTGACGTCCTCGAAGCACTCACGCGGGGACCAACCGAAACGGCCAGTCTTTCATGGACGCCTTACTTCAGTGGCTGGGATTGACCCAACTCGAGTTCGAGACTGTTTTCTCCCTCTGGGTCGAGCAGTCCCGCCAAGGTGAGCCGTGTGGGCCAGGTGTCACTCTTCGCTATAGCTCTGACGCTGTGTTCACATGTATAGGTCCGCAGGCCAATGACGAGCACGTTTTTGCCGAAAGCGCACGTCGTGCTATAGAACGTATGCTATTACTGGCAAGCGGAGTGTGATATGAGCTCACCAGACGAATAGATTGCCGCGCTCAAGCCGCGGCTACGCACACTGGCAACACCTCTCTCGAAGCGTTCGGTGTGCTCGACCGTGGCGACAAGTTTGCAGCGGATGACGGTCTCGTCAACGCCCTAAAGGCCCTCTCGTTGGCTATACAGCAGCGCCCCGATGGGGCGGTGATAGATACAGCGTCCTCGTACGAACCGTCCTGCGTCGCTGCTCTTCCGTCAAGTCCCACCGACACCCATGAGCACGACCGCGACGAAGACGTTGGGCCTCCTGTGGCGACTGCGAGCGACGATTACGACTTGGATTGCCAATTCGCTATAGCTCAGGCTCTTCAGGCCAGCGAGGAACAGCTTATGGACTGGCAGGCCGAAGAAATGCGAGTTGACGAGCAGATCGCCCCGCGTAAATCGCTCTCGCTCAATTGTGGCCTTGCTGTGTTGCTGACGGCAGGTACAGCGCCAGGAGCTTCTGTAGAGACCACGGAGCCTGCTTATTCGAGCAAGGCCACGGAAGTTCCCGGAGAGGCCACGGAAGCTGAAGCTCCTGCTCGTATCAAAACCGCGAAGGGCTCCAGGACGAAGCAGGTCAAACAACCTGGTATGAGCGGTGTTCCGATGCCGGGGGCCTGCGGTCAACCGGTCGTGTTGCGTGAGATGCGTGCACGCATTCCGAAGCCCTCGCGTCAGGAGACACAAGACGGGTGAGTATATCTTCACCCGCGTCGTAGGAGGATAGGTTTGACCAATCGCCTCAAACAGGACCATCCCGATGGTCGCTAAGCCTCGCGCTTGAGTGATGGCGGCACAAGTCGGGAGACATTTACACAGCACCATAGATAGAGGATGGCGTGCTCATGATCGGGCGGAGCACAGCGGCGATGGTTCGGAATGGGGTAACTAGCTGAGGAATGTACACGTGTAGGAGAATTGTCCAGTTGAAGGCGGGCCTGCGCGTGACCTAAATGGAAACCTACAAAATGGGGCCGCTTGCGCAAATTGTGTTCTCGTTCACCGTACCTGCGTCGATCATCATCAGCATGTCCAATCGCTGCTACTATGTGCTCTACGCGTGGAGAGAGGTAAATCAAGTGTATTGTTAGGACCTTGACTTGCTTAACAACCAGCTCGCAGTTTCGCGAACGGGGGATCGAGACGGCAATGGGCCTGGACGGCGAAACCAACATATTCAGGTACAAGCCCGTCATGGCGGTCAGACATTACTCGCCGCCTCACACATCGTCTGCTGGCATTGATTCCAGATCTTGGCCTCTGGAGGGATCTGGATACAGTGGAAGGGAAATTGCAACTCCCTCGCCACGCACGGGCTGTGGTCGTTCGATACGGCGATATCGAGTTCTGTCCGGGCTTCGGCAATGCTCTGACTAAGGCCAGCTCCGCATATGTCGACATCAATACCGCCAAGCAAACCAGGTGGCCGCCGTCGGAGGAAGCGAGGGAGCTAGTGATCCACGGCATAGGTATCCGGATAGTACGCGTGGTCTTCTGGCAGTTTGTAAGTCGTCGATGGCGCAACGCTCATATTCTGGTTCTGATGATCGACATAGCATGGGCGCGCCCCGATGGAATTCGCTATCCGCCTGGACGCGTACTGTTGAACTTGGACTTATCCGGTCCGGACTACACGAGGCTATGCGTCTCCTAGCGCTTAGCTGTAGCCGCTTATGTAGTATGTTACCATATTTGGGACTCTCTGCTCGTGTACTATAGCTATGCTTCCGGACTCTTCTGGTACTGTCTAGGACAATCCGTACTACTCCAGAACGGTCTAGACAGGTCTATGCCTTACTCATCTCTTACTCATCCTATGGTGCGATATGTCGCAATTCTTTTGTCGTTGTATTATTCATCG